CTTCTTGAGGTCGTTGAGTGTGTTGAAGCCCGTCTTGTACTCGGCCTTCTTGGCGTCAATCTTGGCGACCAGCGCCGTCTCTTCGTCCGAAGCGGCCGTTGTTTCGTCGCCACTTGTGAGCGACTCGAGCGCCTTGGTCTTGCGGAGCTTCTCGACCGTCGCCATGTGCTCCTTGATGACGCCACGCGCGTCATTGACGTTTTGCGCGAGTGCTTTGGCCTCGTCGTACTTTTTCTTGAGCAATTGTTTGTTTTCGCGAATGACCTACCGTTCAAATGGAAGATTTTGTCCAATGGAACGTTTTGTGAACGGCGCGACAAATAAATGCGTACGTCGTTTTTCGGGTACTGGTCGCGAAAGACTTCAAAGGCCTTGGCCGGGTCGTCGAGAGAGGCGGCGTCAATTTTGACCTGGAATCCGTTGGGGGGCGGCGGGGGCGCCTGGGGGGCCATGGGCGGCTTGGACGCGACGGTCTTGAGGACGTCGGCCACCTGCGCACTGTTGCCTCCCTAGTGACCGCGTGAATACCCACCCCATTTTGATATCCATCGGTTTTGGTACAACCCATTTACACGCGTCGTACCTTTTTGAGCATCCCCACAAGGATAGCGATTTCATTGTCGCGCTGCTGCAGCGTCTCTTCGAGCTCGACGATGCGCGCATGGGACGCTCCGTCCCCTCGGTCTTCGTGGACGTGGTTGTTGTTGCTGCTGTTGCTGCTGGAATGGCTCGTCGCTTGCGGGCGCGGCGCTCCGTCGCCCACGCCGTCCAGATAAAAGCTCTTCAAGAAGGCAAAGCATGCCTTCATCTTGATGTACGTAATGTCCCCCATCGCCAAATGTGCGTCGAGATCGCGGTTGTTGGCGTAGTCCAAACACTAGACGACACGACAAAATTGGATCATTTTGTCTTGATACATTGATACCACATACCTTTTGTCGGAGTTTGTCCATCTCGTACTCCTTGAGCTCGTCGCCTTCTTTCTATGCGCGTTCAACCAATGCGATTCGTACCTCTCGTCAATGGAGAAGAGAGTTCTTGTACGTACGGGCTCGCCCTTGAGGAGCACGATTTCTTCCTGGAGCTCGACGATCTGAGCTTTAAGGCGGCGGATCACGATCGCCGGGTCCACTTCTTCGTTCAAGTGCGCGTCGTTTCGGACGCGTGCGACGCGCTGGGCGAACCGGCACGTCGAGAGCGACTCCTACGCAAGAATTTTTCAGGTTCAAGCAGCCGTCCACATCCGTTGGTGTACATCGGTCTGCTCTTTTTCGGCGCTCGCCGTCGCGACCATGACCGTCTTGCAGTTGCCCCCCAAGCTATACGCTGGATAGAAACACGTCCTATCAGAACTGATTGTTTGTACCTGTCGCGCAGCACCGACGTCATCATCGAGTTGCGGTATGGAATGTGTGTCCGGCCCTTGGTGTTCTTCTCGTGGAGTGCGACAATGACCATTTCGAGGTAGTGCAGCGACGTGTTGATGTACGCGGCTTCGCGCAGCACCTTGCCTTTCGCGCCTGTCTTGTGCGCCCGCTCCGAGCCGGCGAGGTCGACCATGTGGAGCTTGGAGCGCAAGATGACCTCGCTGCCCGCCTTGCGCGACTCGAGGGAGACGGTAAAGATGCAGTGCGACCGCGACGACTCCAAGTTCATGGACGTCTCGCTCACAGCGCGGTTCGTGTCGCCCTAGCCGTTTACAGTTTACTATTTTATACACAATATTGTTCAATATTTGTACGAGAAAGAGCAAATTGAGCGCGTCCTCCTCGGTCGCGACGCGGTGCATCGAGAGGTTGCGAAGGTGGCAGTTGCCGTCTTCGTCTTCCAGCATGCTCACCTTTCTATCCACCGAATCCATGAGTATCCATACAATGGTAAGTTGTCCATAATACGGCAAATCTTCAATGGCTTTGGTGTTTTGGTGGTCTTCGTTGAGCAAGTCGTAGCCTTGATTGTTGTAAATCTCGAGGTACGAAATGAAGGCCGAAATTTGACATTCCGGGTGCTATCGATCGGTTCATCGTGTGGAACATAGTGTCTTTTGTACCTTTTTCATCTTTTCAAAAATGAGCGAGAGACTGCGCGGAATGATACCGCGGTCGTCGTAGCGCTCGGCGCCGCCCGTGATGGTGAACGTCTTCCCCGACCCGGTCTGGCCGTACGCAAAGATGGTCGAGTTGAAGCCCGACAGCGCACTAATGGACAATATTGTCGTGTGCAATCCAGACAAGTAGCAAACGTACTTTTCGACGCAAGGCCGGCCGATGCGGTCAAACACTTCTTCTTGCTTGGCCGTCATCCCAATGAGCCCGTCAAACTTGAACTTGTAGCTACGACAATAGGCGGCGTGAGCGCACGAACGATCATTGGTCTTCATTCGACTTGGTGCGCGAGTTGTTGATGAGGCCGGACGCCACGTCCTT